TGCTTTCAGATGAGAAGGCGTATTCATCTTTAATAAAATGCCAATGTGGACTGGGGATGTGGCTCAGTTGTTGAGTTCTTGCCTAGTGGGAACAAGACCCTGGATTCAACTCTCCATCTGAAAACACATCCTTTTTTTGTGATTTGTTGATGAATACATTAGCATTATAAGTGCATTTAGAGTTCAAAGTTTAAAGAAACTGCTGATCACTCAGTAAAAATCCTGATTATTTGGGCAGTCAACTAAACTGCTTGTTTTGTTCAGTGTTGTGCTTTATATCTTACTTCTTATGTATGTGTATATGCTTATGCAGAACACACTAAATAGTGTCCCAACATCAGTATTACTTTCTTATTGTGTATAATGTGAATTAAAAAAAATCATGTGTGGTGTTATTTATTAGTACTATTTATTAAACTAATGTATTGTGTGTGTGTGTGTGTGTGTGTGTCTGTGTGTGTGTCTGTGTGTCTGTGTGTCTGTGTGTGTCTGTGTGTGGTGCAGAGGACAAAGCACAACTTGGAAGAGTTTGTTTTCTTCTTCCACCATGTGGTTCCTAGGAATTGAACTCAGGTCATCAAGCTTGGGGACAAGTGCCTGATAAACTATCTTTAAAAATAAAATGTTTTCAATCCGTGCATAATTTTCTTCCTTTGGTTTCTACATGTCTCAAAAGTATTTTCTAATTTTGGCCTAGATACTTTCATATTAGTCAAGGTGAAGCAGAATACTACCACTGTGAGTGTCTTATTTAAGGGAGGAGTAGTCTTACCAATTAATTCAGGTGGAGAGTATGTTATGATCATTAAGCTCTTGTGCTTTGATCTAAGTAAAAGCCTGTTTCCCCTTTGATCTTCTATATCTAAATTGCTAATCTTTAAAAAATAAATTTTTTTAAAAGTTAAGGTGTAGTAACAACTTTATTAATAATCCCTAATTATCTTAGGCTAACCTATACAGTTCCCACCAGTTTTTACAACATTTGTTTGGGGATTGGGGAGATAGCCCAGTTGGTAGAGTGCTTGCCTGCAGTGCCTCAAGCCCTGGCTTTGGTCCAACTCCCTCATTAAACTAAGCATGGTGGTGCCTTGCCTGTGATCCCAGCACTTGGGGGTGAGGCAGGAAGGCCTGGAATTCAAGGTCATCCTTAGCTACTATGTAGCAGGTTTGAGTCTAGCTTGGGCTTCATGACACCCTGTCTGGGGGAAAAATGAGTATATGGTGCCTTGGTTTTTAAGTTGACTTCTAATCCTAGTACCCTGATAATAAAGGACAGTGTAGGTATAAAATAAATTCTTATGAATGTGTCAGTATCTTTGTAGCATAGAGCAGGAGTTTGACAGTTTGCCATCGGCTGCAGAAGTTAACTTTTAGTGGCTATGGTGTTATTGGGACGTATTACAAATGAAGTCATTGTGCAGTAACACCAGCTCACTGCTTCTCCAGCTTCTTTGTGAGTACTCTGCTTTACTTGGTTACCTGTTTTCCCCACCCCACCTCTGCTCACTTCTCTTCCTCCTTACCCCTACTTTTCCTTCCCAGAGTTCTGCTGTATAGCTCAGACTGCCTTTTGACCCCTTTCTTTAATGTCCCTTGAGGCATGTGCTGTGATTTTTTGTTTTTGATTGCATGATTACATTCCTTTCAGGAAACTGAACTATCCTTGCATTTTTAGAATTAATCCCATTTGTTCATGACATGTTTTGCTTTTTAGATACATTGAATCTGATTTTCAGTAGTATGTTAAAGAACCTTGCATCTTTGTTGTGAAGAATATTGGTCATTTTTTACTTGCACTTCTTTTCTTTCTTTCTTTTTTTTTTTTTTTTTTTTTTTTTTTTTTTTTTTTTTTTGGTCTTGTCAGGGATGTGGACTGACAGGATCACTTTGAAAAACTTTAAAAATTTAAATTCATTTTCATTGGTAGTCATAGGCTTACACAGGGTATTTGCTTAATCTTAGATGAGTTTGAAAACTTTCTAGTTTTAGAGAAATTTCTCCATTTTATATACGTTTTCAAATTTGTATACATAGAACTATGCATGTAATTGGCTCTTGACAATCAACAGCTGAGAGATTTTAGTGACCATATGTTTTCACTCCTGGAACTAATCTTGGTCTGTATTCCCTGTCCATCTTTGGCAGTTGTGCTATATGTTTTCATAGTTTCTAAAATATGTTTGTGTTTGTTTGTTTTTCTTGAGACAAGGTCTCTATATATGCCTGGTTGGCCTGGAACTAGCCTGCCTAGCTGCCTCCCACCTCTGGGATTAAAAGCAGTTGCCACCACTCCTGGCCAAAGAAAATGTTATTGGTTTCATTGATTGCCTTTTGCTTCATTACTTTCTGCTCCCTACTGTTTAGTTTGTTTTCTCTACTTGTTCTTGGTTTATTATGTTCTGGTTACGAGTGCGATGTCTATTTATTTATGTATTCCCTAAACTTTGGTCTGTAACATCATTCTCTCATTTTCCTGTGACTTCCTCTTTAGACCCATGCAGGATTAGAGGTTTGCTTTCCTTTCCAGCTGCTGATAGTTACTTCACAGGACCTAGTTTGTGTGTTCAATCCTTTGAATAGAGCAGAGCTTGTTAAACTTTTAACTCCTGTGTTTCATGAGTGCCTGTTATGTGACATCAGTGACTGAGTGTGACAACTTTTGTTATTGTCCCCATACACCCCTGAGCAGACTGTTAATCTCATTTTCCTGGTCAGTGTCTTTTCTCTTCATTAATTATATTGGATCATTTCTGTTGTTTTCATAATACTGATAGTGAGTCTTTAAAGTAAATATAAAATTTTTAAATTATTTTTACCTTATCTTATTTGTTTCTGGAGTAAGACATTTTCTTCTATTTAGTTAGAGTTCACCTTTATTTTGAACTTTTTTTTGATAGCTTAGTAATATATCTCTTCTAATTAATTCTAAATTCTGTGCCATTTGTGGCTTTGGTGTTTGCATGAGTTGACATTTTTCTGTTTCAAGTTTTTCATCTTGTTTAAGTTCTATAGTGACACACACACACACACACACACACACACACACACACACCCCTCCCTCCCTCACCCCTCCCTTTTTCTTACAGTAGGAAAAGGTCTAACAGGCTTCAGGGTACAAGCCCTGGATTGAAACCACAGTTGAGTTAGGTGTACAGCAGAGGCTAGTTGGAGCTTGCTGGATCTGCTTTTAGTTTATTTCATGGCTATCTTTCAAACTTTGATAAGCTGTTAAAGACCACTTGTGCTCTGGGTGTACTGAGGAATTTAGAGGCAATTTAATGGTTTTCCTAGAATCCTCCCTCCCCCATCTTCTCTCTCTCATGTTCCACAGCTACACTCACAGCCCTTGCAAAACAATATGTACTGTATTTTCCCTTATTCTGTGGGGTTCTGTACAGTAAGCAGGAAGATAATTAGAAATAGGTTAAATTTTCAGAGCCTGTTTTCCTCAAATATACTTTTTTTTTTGTAAGATTTACCCTGCATTGATATGTCATATCATTAGAGTTGGACTTCTTGTTGAAATTTCTTCCCTTTCTCATTGCTTCAAAGCCATTTTCAAAATTGAATTTTCTGGGGCTAAGGGGAGATGGCTCAGTCAGTCAAACACTTGTCTTGAAAACATATGTGCCCATGTGAAATGTTAGGTGTGTGGTGGCACTGAGGAGGCAGAGAGAGGAGGCTATTGCTAGCCTCATTGGTAAGTAGTAGGCCAATGGAAGACTGCCTCAAAAGAAATGGATACCATTCCTGTGGATGGCACATGTGCATACACACACACACACACACACACACACACACACACACACACACACACACTTTTGCTGTTACCAGGTTACTGCCTTTCCTCTTAGGTCTTAGTGTCAATATTATCATTAGTAGAAATGTTCATTTATTCAGTGCTGAGAATCTGGCAAATGCTAGTTTTAACTGCAATCTCTGTTGCTTGTTAAACTTTGCTAAATAAGCTTTGGCCCGTCTCTACAGATTCTGATTGAATAGGTATGTTCTATAACAGATAGCCTAAATGCTCCCCCCCCTCCTATTCAGACACACCTGCTTCATTTCAGGTAAGCCATGGTTATGTGGACTCTGAACATGTGTGACTAAGCAGGGCAAATATTCTTGGTGCTGTAAAAGTTGTGCTGCATTTCTCAGGCTCAGTTTCTCAGCACCACCTCTGGCACATTCTTCACTGGTCCATCTTTCTTGAGATTGTCTCTTTTGAGTCATTGAATATTTTTTTTTAATTAGTAAATCAGTTCAGAAAAGACTAGAACTTAATGGTATCCTCTCATTTAACATTCTGGTGTTTAAAGGACAAAATATTTTGTTTTTCACTTTTTTCTTATCAGGGTACATTCTGTAGCTAGTAGAGGGCTAAAGACATAGCTGTCATAAGCTTGAACTTGCAATACGTAAGTTTATATGGCACCTTCTCATTAAGACATAGAGCATTCCCCGCTTTCCTCTTATATGTCCTTCCATGTCCCTCCCTACTCAGTACCTTTGTCTGTGTCTATCCTGATTTCCAGCACTGTATATCATTTGGCCTCCTTTTTCACACATCCTACGCAGAGTCACGTGACACATGTTCCCACATATCTAGTATTTAATCAAATGATTTTTTTATGGTCATGCTTTGATGAGTTTTAATATACTATTTTTGAGTTGTTTATACTCAAAATATATCTAGATCAAAGAAGATTCAGCTGAATTTCCCATTTTTTTTTCCGCTGAGTTAATTTTAAATGTTTTTAGGACATTCCCCATAGTCCTTTTCTAACTCTGTTCAGTGGATCTGCTGTTTCCTCGGGCTATCTTTGCCCCACTCCCCATTCCTTTCTACATGTCCTTCTGCCAGCACAAAGGTGAGGGGAGCTTTCTGAAGTCTCACTTCTTGTTCTATTCTAGTGTTTGAGCTAGAGGCAATTGAAACTCAAGCAAATGTTGGTGATTATTGTATTAATCTTTCATCATTTCCCTTCTTTTCCTGGTAGCATGATGGAAGTGGATCTTTGAATGATGTTGAGCTATCATTGCCATCCAGTCCAGAGCCAGAAGATGATGACCAGATATATAAGGTATGGCTAGGTAGTTATGCTGAAGATTTCAAAGTTTTTGCTATAAAAGTAATGAAACAGAACAATAACATTTTAAGCTTTGAATAATAGAGGTTATAGTGCCACATGTCTATAGATCCCACCAATTAAGAGGCTGATTTGAAATCTGCCTGTGCTACACATTGGGTTCAAGGCTATCCCAGACAATGTAGTGAGATACTGTCACAAAAATGTCTGAGATTGTAGCTCAGTGGCCAAATACTTGTTTAACATCCACAAGGCAATGAGTCAGTTCAATTTCTACTACAGAAAACAGGCCTGCATAGAGCTTTGCATTCTGGGAAAACAATCACATTTCCTCTGAACTTTTGCCACAGTATGAAACTAAAATGATAGCCCAGTGATGTTTTAATTTAAATTATCCCTCCTTGTCAGTTTAAAAGTAATTTGCCCCCTGTGTTACTTCTGTTGCTTATAGCCATGAATAATAATTATCAAAATAAGATTTATAATAAATTAAAATGGTAAGAGGTACTTCATATATTCATAGAATTGAAGAAATATTCATGTAATATGGTTACCCTTTCCATATTTGAAAATCTAATTGTAGAATCTATATATGTTTTAATAAATGTTTGGAAATATTGTAATTTTCATGATCTTTAGATTTTAGTGGATAGCTTTTACAACTGTTTCTCAAATGTACACATGTAATTTTTGATTCATTTAATATTTTCAAGATAATGCATTTATTTCCCATTTCCAAGCTGTAATTGCCCAGTCATTGCAATAACAGATAACCTCAGAAACATTAGTGACTTAACATAATGCTAATTCTTACTTGATTACACATGGTCTGTATATCAGCTGGAATTGTTTAATTTGTCTTCAAGTTGAATGATCAGCCCTTTGGTATGACATAGCATTGTTGTATAAAGGAATAAGAACTTTGAGAAATTCATATGAATTCTACTTGGATGTGGCAGATGCTGCTTCCAGATGACTCAGCTGGCCTAGGTTGGAAATAGCTGGACAGAGGAGCATAGACTGCTTATAGGTGTCTTAGTAATTCACCAAGAACTAAATCCTAAGAATATAGCACAGTAGTTATGTTGGGCAACTAATCTCGCCCTTCTCATTTGTTGTCTACCTGTAATCACTCAGTGACTTCCCGTCTGTGGGTTCCTGCATGACTGGTAGTGAGGTGGTGTCCCATGGCAGCAGATCTGCAGAAGATTGTGGCTTATTTAGAAAATCATTTTGTATTTGCATCCAGTTTAAAATCAGTGATTTAGATGACCACGGAGTGTCTAAATTTTCTTCAACTTTCTTACTGACACCCCCCCCATTAAATATCTCTTCAAATTTTATCAGGTTTTATACAAGCAAAGAATTAATTTTGAGACAAGGTCTTATGTAGTCCAGAATGCTGTGTAACTTGCCGTATAGCTGAGGCTAGCCCATGTGTAGCTTAGGGTAGCCTCTGTATAATCTTGAACTTCAGATCCTCACACTTTCACCTTTGAAGTGCTGTGATTACAAGGATGTACCACCATACCAGCCCAGGAACTTTGTGTGAAGAGACAAAACTAATTCAATTTTGTACATTACTGTGGTCTCATTGCTTCTTATTTCTTTGTAGTTTATCCATATGGTTAGTATTGCATGATAGCCTCATTGACAATTGGCATTAATTCATGTCCCCATTCCCTATTTGTCTAGGTAATTTATTGTTTACATCTTATTTAAGTTGAGATGCAATAGTTTATTGTGTCCTGTATTCTCCATTTCTTTTGATTCATAGCCATTCATTATGTCATTCAAGCTAAAACACAGATTTGAATTCTTTCATTTGGTGTAGATTATCAAGTCTCCTCAAAGCTATGATCGGTCTATTGGTTCAGGTTCCAGTTCTCACCTGGAGTATTGCAGTGCCTTGGGTGAAGTTTCCTAGCCCAGTTTTGTCTTTGTTAAAGTTTTCCTTCAAACTCTCCAAGTCACTTCAAGATCAAACCTGTCATTCCCTAGCTAAGCCCATGCATGGTCCTTCCTGATGGTAGTCACTGCCTAGTTTCTTAGCTAAAATTACTTCTTGTTTCTTTCTTTTTCTACAGCATGTGTGTGGCAGTACCACTGTATGTAGATCCCTGGGTGTACTGTGATTGTCCTCACTTCTGTATTGTGTGGTACTTTGAGTATCTTATATAGGAGCCAAAGTTTGCAGCGTTTCTCTGTATCTTCAGTCCTTCTGCTCATTTTCAAGACTTTCCTGGAGTCTATTTCCTTACAGGCACATTACCCCCTGTTGTCTTAGGGTTTCTATTGCTGTGATGAAAACACCATGACCAAAAAGCAAATGGGGAAGGGGCAAATGCTTACACTTCACCTTTGCTGTTCATTACTGAAGGAAGTCAGGACAGGAACTCAAAATGGGGCATGATTCTAGAAGCCAGAGCTGATGCAGAGGCCACGAAGGGGACCTGTTTACTGGCTTGTTTCCCCTGGCTTGCTCAGTCTACCCTCTTATAGAACCCTGGACCAGCAGCCCAGGTCTAGCACTCCCCATTGATCACTAAATGAGAAAATGCCTTACAGCTGGATTTCAAGGAGGTATTTCCTCACCCGAGGCTCCTTCTTCTGATGACTCTGTAGCTTGTGTCAAGTTGACACACAAAAATCACACAATGCAGCTGCGTTGTAAAGTGTCGTTCCATACAGTAGTGCCTGTTGTACTGCTGTGTACTGTATCTGAATGTCACGTGGAACATATGTTCTCTAACACTGTAGAAACCAGCAATGTCTACATAAATAATGGTTTCTTGGTTTTCCATCAAGTTGTTTGTCATATGTCATTTGGAAACATGTTGTATACTTGTAAATGTTCAAATAACACCTTGACTGCTAGGTCTGATATACCAGTTTTGAATAATCTTAATTATATTGGATATGTTCTTGCTCATCAGCATCTATAAAACAGTACTTAGTCTTTTCTGTTTCTCCAACAATTACCACTTAACATGATTGTGAGAGTTAGCAGACTTTTTTGTGGGAGTCTTGAATGTGATCGCATACTGTCCTTGAGTTATATTAAATCCTTCATTATGTTTTCACCTCAATGTTAATGGTATTTATATTTTAGGATTTTGTATGATGAGTTATATATATCAAATCCTAATGGCTTTATTTTCTGTACAGTGTAGACGTGTGTCATTAGTGTATTCATCTATCTTTCATGTTCTCTAATCTATCGTTTTTCCTCCTGATTTATGAAGTTTTACTTTCTAAACTATCTTCAAGTCCATCTTTTATAGTCTTTCGTAATTACAGTATAGATGATAACATTTTCATAAGCTCTGATTTTCCCTGTCATTTGGATGATTTAGGTCATATTCTAAAAACTTTGTTTAATGTTTATTTGTCATCTTTTGTTAAAATAATTACATTTTTTAAAAATTAAAAAACAGTCATACGTGTATGTTATGTATTTTAATTATATTCACCCTGCATCTATGTTTAATTGTATATGAAGGAGATGAAATATTTTGCTCAGTAGTAACACATAATTGTTTACATGTTTTTGTTCTAGAAAAGTCTTCCATGAGAATATGCATTCTAATTTCTTATAGTACTTCCTCAGTATATGTGTATATGTGGGTAACTGAGTAGCGGTACACAAAATGGACTAAGGATAGGTTAACAGTACTTGCCAGATTGGAAATGTCATCAGAATATTGCTTAACTTAACAAAGCCTTCCATTTTATAGTACTGATTTGTCTGGTTGATAAAGTTGGCTGGTGCCTTTCACTTTCCTTCAGTCTGCACTTGTCAGGAAGGTGGCTCATTGCAGAATACTCCCTGGTATTTATCTGGCATATTTGTCCTTTGCTGAGTGCTGAGCCAATTTTAAAATTTCTCCTGTACATTAATTACTCCTTCTGTCTGCCCTGCCCTGCCCTGACAGACAGCTTATAAGTGTCCCTTGAAATTTTAGTTGAAGTCAGTTTTGCATGGTGATTTCCTTTACTGTATTATGACCTTTAGCCTAGTTTCTTTATTATGTTAATGCAAAGGAATAAATAGCAATATCTCTGTGTAGCCAAGATCAGCATAAATGCTAATTCAAATGAGAACTTCTTGAATATTAGCAGTTACTTCCATTTTGCGCATTGTTTGCATGTCAATTGCCATTAGATCATGCAATCTTTCTAAACCTTTAGTAGATTTCCTTTTAGATGAGCAAATAATCCATTCATTATTTGACTTCATTGACTTTAAGTTTCTCATTAGAATGACAGTATTTTTTCTTACTTCAGAATGAAGATTTATTAAATGAAATAAAACAACTTAAAGAGGAAATAAAGAAAAAAGATGAGAAAATCCAACTATTAGAGCATCGGCTTGTAAGTATAACACAGACTATAAAACAGGCTCTTCCTGGGGAGCTGTGTTTGCTTTTATAAGACAGGGCTAGAGTGGAGCTTGACTTTGTTTTGGCTTTCAGAGTTCTATGTAGCATTGTGTTTAGAGTACATGTGCTCCAATTAAAGTATATGATGGAACTTTGACATAAAATGAGTACCTGGGCATTTTCTGTCTGTAAGTAGAGTGACACTAGGTGCTTGCCTTGAGAATTGGTTATATTGAAAGGGATTCTAGGGAAATACTTCAATTCTGTGAATGATGGTGTGTGATTCCTCAGAGTTAGCCTTGGTTGAATCTTCATAATTTTATAATTGTGATTTCAGATGTTTATAAGACCATTTGTATAGTATCTTGAATTCAGTTATAGGATAGTTTGTAATAATTAATATGTCAGGCTAAAATGAACATACTGCATAAAATCACAAAAATTAAAAGATAATATTTACTCAGAATCAAACAACAAAACAACAAATTCAGCTTTATAAAATACTGCTTCCATTCAGAATGTCAAGGATATAGCATTGTGAACTCTTTCAACCACTAAGGTTGAAAGAATAGGAACAGACAGATAGGATATGGTTAAAGGCTCAAAGGCAGGTGATGGGAATTGTGTAGAGAATTTATTTCTCAGTTGATGATATTCTAGTACGGTAAAGACCATCAAAGAGGCTATGTAGCCCTGCACAAAAGAACAGACACAGTGTGTGGACTGTTGGTATTTAATACCCAGCAGAATTCCATCAGAGATACATTTAGGAAACTGTCTGTAGTGCTTGTTGCTGGAACACTTTCTCTGAAGAGTTCTAAACAAACACCTGCTCTTCCTTATAGGGCACCATCATCAACCTAAAGTACAGTTCCACCAAAGTCCATCTTGGGGAACCAATGAGTCTACTGAGTTTACTTTCAGAGCATGGGTGAGGGGTTGCTTGAAGGAGTGCTGGTGAGCCCAAAGCACTCAGACCACTGGGACTTCTCATCCCATAGATGCATAGATGGAGTTAATGCTCCATAGAATATAAATTCTAGCACTCCCCAAGATCACAGGGCCACATTCACTAGGGCAGAAGTAGACATAGCAGGCTGGAGGGTGCAGAAAAGAGTGACTAGAATCTCAGGTGAGGTATGAGAACCTTCCACTCTGTCTTTTGAAAGAATAGCAATTTTAACATTCTTTTGCAAGTAGTTATATCTGATGAAGACCATGGCTATTAGGGGCAGAGGACAGCAGGATCAAACAAAATAAATCAGAAAAAGGAATATAAATTTTCAGTAGCATTCTTTTATGTCCTTGATTGATGCATATATCCTCCATCTAAGTGATGTTGTATATTTTTATATACATAAAATTATATATGGTGAGGTTTTTAGACAGTTTAAAAGATTGTCAAGAGAACTATTGTAGTTCACTGGCTTTATCTCAAATCCAGTCCCTGAAAAAGGGAAGGCAACTGAATAGACCTTGAAGTTTGGTGTAGGCATGTCTGCCAAGAAAGTAACCAGAGCTTATTGCACTATGCAGCTTGGTGATTTGGCTTGTTCTTCTTAACGTAGTGTCTAACTGTCTGTGTGTATGTGCAGAAGAAAACGATTTTGAACATTTGTGGTTTTGTCCAGGCAACCCGGTGTAACTGCCACCAGAAATCTAAAGAGGAAAAGTGTACATATGCTGATAAATACACCCAGACACCCTGGAGAAGAATCCCTGTAAGTCACCTGTTCTTAACTTCTGTCTTTTGTCATTTTTGTTGTGTTGCTTTGATTTTTTAATATAACCACTAATAATTTTGAATCTGCCATAGCTATTTTTGTCTTTAGATGAGCTGCTTTTCCCTTGTCTCCTAGGTGTTACGTGCTTTCCAAAGCTTCTCTTGTGTGCTCTATACAAGTGAATGTGCTTTTAGTAGCTTTTCCATTGTGCATATTGTGACCCATCTTATTTAAGTGTCTACTCTTTTCTCATTGCATGTTTTTGTGGGAGTAGTAATACCGTGGTCCCACTTGTACAATACATCCCACTTTGAAGGTGTATGATGTAGTAGGTTCCCTTTTGTGTTGAAGCTTTTCCAAATAGTTTTTATTATTATAATTACAAACTGTTGAGGGAATTAGGAAACATTAATCCATGAAAACATAATTAGGGTGTGACTTATTTGAAACAATAGGAAATTTCCACCCAAATATTGTTTGTTGTTTATGAAAGTGTTATGTATCAACATATATTCAGTGCTAAATGTACCATATTATTCACTCTGAGTACCTGGAACTCACTTCAGGGTGTCAGTCATTATCTATTATATGGGGTAGGTAATAGACTTTTATTATTAAGAGAAAGCGTGGTATACTTGGAGATTCCTTTTATGTTCTATATTGCAGCAGAGTCCCACTAATACAAATTAATAGAAAAATATATAGGTTAATATAGTCAATCCAACTGTAAGCTGTAAATTTTATAAAATTTTTACTTTGTTTCTTTCCATTGAATATGTAATTGCTTTCTCTGTATGTGGGATGATGTGATAATAGAAATTAACTTATTTGAAGATCTTCTTTCACTGTGGTTCTTGAAGGAAAAGGGAGAAATGAAAGAAGGAAATACACAGATAAATGCATACTTCTTGATTTGTAAACAGCTGAAGGAACTACTGACTCACTGATATAAATCAGTGCAAATTCTGAGGAGGTTGGAGGATATGGGAAAGTCTAGACAAATCAAGAGTTTGGTGAAGGGTGGTAAAGGTAGGACTTAAATCACAGAAAGCAAAATGGCATCCTTAGACAAAGATAACCTAATTCTATTTGATGTTAAAGGGTCCAGAAATGCTTGGAGACATGTCCAAGATAAATTATGGTGTCTGGTGCCTCTACATGGGCATTTGCTCTTTCCATGGCCTCCAATTTTCCCATGGAGTGTAGTTTTAAACATCATTGATTAGCATTTCTGTTAGGTATAAGAAGCTCCACTTTGTATCTTTATACAAGTCTTTAGACTTCATAATCATCCTGGCTCCCCCAGCCTAATTGTTCTGAAAGGAGAGTATTAATCTACCTCCCACTCTAGATAAAAATAACTGGTGCAGAACCACCCCAGTGCATGACTTAGTTAATTTTTACAGTGATCTTGGGAGAAGTAAAGGTCAGGTGCTTAGCCAAGCACTTTCAAAAACTCAGACTTCAGCTTCCTCCATTACTATTTTTTTGATAGGTGTCATCTGGCCACATTTCTAGATAGGAATAAAAATCAAGGGATATTAAATGGCCTTGTAAGTTTCTACTATAAAGAAATGGCTGAGACAGTACTATAACTTAGGACTCCTGACTACCAATCATTGGGTCCTCATCCCCAGAGCACACTGAAGAACCTTTGGGATGAGAGGTTTTGAAAATTATCATGGGAGGAGTGGAATGTCTAACTTCAGAAGAGCTAGTGGAGGTAGAGGTGGGAGAGGGTTTGGTGGTAGTAAGTTCACAGGTAGGGTGGGGCATAGATGGGTTCTAAGGAAAACAGTGGAGTTAGTGTGAAAACTCATATAAATACAGAGTCAGAAAGTCTAATCTAGGAATTACTATAGATTCATGGAGGTTCATTCAATGAATAAATAAATGCTTGCTTATTTACTTCAATAATATTAAGAATCAAGTTAGTAATAAATTTACTCTGTGATCATCTGTGCTCATTGGACTTCACTGAAAATGCATTATGTTGGAAACAGTCACCATAATATAGTGCTTTTCTTTTCACTCAAAAATTATACTTTGTTCCAAATGTTCTTTTTAAATGAGTCTAGCATATTTAGACAGGATGTAGGTGATACAGATGTGGGGGTACAGCATCGTTCTTGTTGTTAATCTTTAGTTTTTTTAGACAGAAATTTTAGAAATGAAAAGGCCAGTTAAAAATCATTTCAGTGTAAGTAAAATTAAAAAAAAATAAAGCCTTTGGGAAGGTTTCAGATTATAATCAGTGTCTTTTCACATTTTCTCATAACACCTTGGTACATTTGACATTGCTACAGTCATTTGATTATAGCATCCACTTAAGTTTTCTCTGTGAATTCCATCTAAACACGAAGGAGGAAATCTGATTGCAATGAAAGATGGAAAAGGCCAATGGCTGAGAGATTTACTGACTAGGTTTGTTTGAAGCCATTTAAGAAGTGGAAAGAAATGGGAAATGTAACAGATGGACACCTGAGTAGATCGCTTACCAGTGACAGCAGAATGGTAGAAAGGCAAACATTTTGAAGCTGACATGAATTTCCTGTGGAGATTTGTCTAAGTGGAGTTGAGTATCTCCTAGTGGCTACATGTAAGATACCTGAAGCAAAGAACCCACAAGAAATAATAAGCAAATCAGTAGAGCAGAGAAAAGAGAAACACAAAATAGATACCTGTGGCTTATTCCTCAGTGCCAAGCTCTGTTCACTAAGGGTGGAAAAAGACACAGCACCAACCCACCAGATGCTTACTTCCTGTGACTTAACAGATGCTAGATGCCAATAATCTCATTTCCCCACACAAAGGAGCTGAAACTGAGAAGCAACTTGTTCAAAAACTTGCATGACTCGGGAATGCTGTGGGAGGCTGGTGCTCTGAGAAACCAAAGTTCATTTTATTTTGTTTTTGTTTGAGACATAGTTTCACTATTTAGCCCTGGCTGCCTGATGTAGAGCAGGGTGGCCTTGAACTCTATAATAGAGTTCTACATACCTCTGCTTCCTAAATTTGGATATTAAAGGCTTGCACTGCCAAACCCGGCTGAAGGTTCATTTATATACAGTCGAGTTGATCCCAGTGCTTGGAGGCTGATGGAAAGGGATGGCTACAGTTACAAAATCAGGCTGTGCTCTATAGCAGAGCTTGTTGCTCTTTTTAAAGATAGTCTTTACAGTATTATTTAATACTGAATACTGATAACAATAATAAAAGAAAAGACACCATGAATTTGAGGATTGAGAATATATAGGGAAAGTTAGGAGGGAAACGATTTGATTACATTTAATTTAAAAAATTTCAGAAATAATTTGGATGAGAAAAAAAACACAGGACAAGGACTAAATTCTATTACTCTGTGTACTTCTAATATTGTTTTAAAAGCATTTAACCTTAACATTTAAAGATAGAAAGTCATTTTGCTCATTACAATTCAAAATTATCAGGACATATTCTTTTTTACCAGCCAGTGTTTGCTTGAACACCTTGATTTGAATAATTAAAAAAATTAACCCTCAGCCCTCATCAGACAGCAGAAAAGTTCTAAAGGATCTATATGTCCTGTCACATAATCAGCTGGCCTGCATAACTATCAAAACAAGTGTGGGAAGATGCAGACTATTATGTTACGTGAAAAGGCTTGTACATGTTAAAACTGTTCACAGTTGGGCCCGATTCTACTTCTCTCTCCTGGTTTAATAACTGACTGCTACAATGAGAGGATCATGGGAAGATGATCTGCCATGTGTTTCAGAACGTTCTGTTGAAGTTATTTCTAACACCAAATGATGATTTGTTCATATCATTGCATGTAATAGAGACACATGTAACATACCAACCCAACAGGTGGAATATGGTGAACTCATATGTAAGCAGTCATTTCTCTAAGAATTAGGTTCTTATGCTGTAGACTTACTGAGTCGAGTTTTCCTATTATATTTTTGTAAAATCAGAAAACTACCACTGATGCATCAAAAAAAAGCTTATCACATATGTGTTTATAATGTTTATAATTTTACTAGCAAGAAACCAGTTTCCTTTTTCTTGGCCTGGGAGATAGTATATCAGAGTAACTGAAACAATAGTGTATCTTGCAGATTTGTCTGTTGAGTAAACTGTCCCATGTGCTTTCCTGATCTGAAGCCTGGGCAGCAGCATTGGTTAACATATCTGCAGAACTGTCCTAACTTTAGACTCAGATTTGCCACTTTCCTCCCCACTAGGCATTGCCAAATTATAACTTGGGTATTTATGTGTGTATTTGGAGATAAGTACTCAAAGGGAATTAAAGTATTTATTTCTTTTCCAAGGGGTCTCATTTATTTATTGTTGTATTTATATTTGTCACTCAAAGAGGTTTGGGTGTGTGAACATACACACACATCAGTATTTGAACAAGTAACATTTGTGAGTTGTCTCAAATTGCTTTTTCATTGTGTAATGTTACTCATTTTCAGGCATTGAATTTTGAATATAGCATGTGTCAGGAAGCTTTATAAATACTAACAGGTACTACCTCTCCCTCTGAGACATCACATTCTAGCAGACAGAAGTCTGTACACAAGAATTTATTGTTCATGACATATGCTGTTTTTTTGAAACAACTGTGTTTTACATTTTCTAGTTTGTTTTTCAAGGTGAATAACAAATTATGCATGGCTGTTAAAGCCATCTACTGATCTGATTATAAATGTCTGTCATTCAATTTGGGTTCATTCCAGACCTTTAGGAGACATTTTTGAAGCTGAATGTGTTGGAAGAAGCAGTGTTATCTGTGATGAGTTAGAAAGCAAAAGATAATTATGACCAAGTTTGCTAGTACTAGAACCATTTCATTTATGTTTTGTAGTTTTATCTGTGGCTACCTTTTAATTTGGCTACAGTGGATAGTTGAGGCAAAATATGTTCTTGATTCTGTGATGTTAAACATCTGACATACAGACGCATTCCAATTTTGATAAAACATGGTTAAGTGAAATTAAGGAGCTATTAGTTATCCATACTAAAAGCATGCATCATCTATGTCATGCATATCACACTTTGTAAGAACATATTGTCACAATATCCTAATTATTTCTAACCCTAGCTTTATTTTTTGTGTTCTAATCTTTTGGAAATCTATGACTTGAAAAGAAATAAGCATTTTTGTTTGATAATGTTTGATTTCCTGATTCATAAATTAATGTTTTTATATGTTAATACATGTAATTTATCCTTCTTTTTACAGTTCTTTTTCTTCAAAGTAGTAGATAATCTGATACTTTAAAAAAGATATATGATAGATTTATTTTATACCAGAAAAAGTTACTTGTGTGTTAATTACAAAGAGTAGATGATATTTTCTGTAAAAATATTTGGCAACTAGATTTTGAATTTGGATGTGTTAATAATATGAGCTGCCTGTATGTTAAAAATGAAATTTACTTCTAATTAACACTGCTGCTGTATTATTTTAAGGGAAAACAAATATGACTTTGGTTTCTCTGGTTCCCTTCTTTATTATGCCTCCCTACCCCATCTCTTTCTGCACAGGGTGGGTATTCTGCTCCCTCCTTCTCTCCTTGGCAGGGCTCCTTCCAGGGGATGCCACGGACTGTTCCACCGCATCGCAGACAGAGTGAGTCTGTGTCTCTCACTCCCATCCTGCTCTGGCTTCCCCTTCATGGTATTTCCCTTCTGCATGACTGTCCCTCCCCAGTACCTTTTTTCCTTCCTGAGCTATCTGCAGGCACCAGCTATGGAACACTCCCTGTGTTCTGCTCTCTTAACCCTTCCTTGACGCATGCAAACAAACCTCTACTCTGGCCTGAAAGCTGTCAGAGGTTAATTCCACCTTAACTGTTGAAACCTTCTGCTGGTGACCCTAGACCTACTGACATGCATCTGTCTTTAAATAGATCTTATCAGGATCATGAAATATGTGATAAAATTGCTGTTTGCCAAGTTATTTTTAAAATGTGCACATTCTCCACAGATTCGATAGACAGATGCATACTGTTTAGGGATCATGCTTACTAGACCATTGCACACTTCTTTACTTATTTCCTAAGCAAAGGCTTTGATTGTACTTAACTGCCACCTAAAAACTTTACAAAAAAAAACTTCAAGGCCTTTTTTTAATCCACTAATATGTCTTTATAATTTGTTAGCTGCTTCACAGCGCAGAAGCAATGACTTGGAATATGTATGCATGTTTACTAACACTTAATGATCCAGTTATCACTTGACCCTCTACATGTGTTGACTGTTTTAGGTTATGTATAACTATACCTGGTAAGTTGGCTGCATTTTATCTTTTTTGAAAAGTCACCCCTTCCAAAAAAAGCTAATATTAATGAAAATAGTCAGAGTTAGTTCTACACTTTCTTCACGGTTTATTCTCATTGTGATTCTTACCATTTTTTACTAATTTTCTTATTTGAACTATTAAGAGTCTAAAGGGGAGTTTTATTTAAGAGTATATAATTTATTTTTTAATTATGACCTGATTTATCAAAATTGTAAATAATTAACATAAATTGCAGATAAGACATGGTTTAGTTGGTGCCTCTCTTTTCTTTCTGTGATTTCTGTTTTGATGAAAAATAAGAGTTTGTAGAGCCCATGGACTGTACCAGGGTATTGTGAAGCCGGTTCTTTTATGTGGAGACAGAAGAGTAATACAGTAGTGAGGTAGTAGGAAAACCATTAAGAAATGATGGATTTCCAGTCTTGTAGTCAATAAACCAGCACTGCTTGACAGATTTATCTTAGATCAGCCTACCTGCCTCTGTGCTCACTGAAGGGCCCCTCTTATCTCCTCTTTCTCCCCACCATTTGTTCCCGTTATCTATTAGCTGCAATATGGAATTGAAGTAAGGTTTATTGGCCTGTATAGCAAATGGAGCTTTTTAAAAGTATTTTTAAAGTATGTATCTGGAAGTATCCCTCTCAATAATTTCTTAACTGCAATAGCTGTGGAGTTTTCTTACCCTTGCCTCTGGCCATTGACCTTCTGTTGGCACTTGCTTCTTTCTTTTCCTCTTGGGTTCAGTGCTGTTAGGTTCTGATTATGTGCCACACTATTGTGATCAAGACTGATTTCTAATTTTTCTAGGTCAAACCTCTTTCTGCATCTCCAGATTAGGAAAAAAAGTAAGGTTTAGTTGTATGCTTTAGCTCTGCTAACCACTTGGGGATGGATGGATATGTCTTTCTCTAAAGATGCTCACAGGAGTCTTGTTGAGCCTTAGCTGCCAGATCGTTCCACATCCTTTAGCAACTCTCACTGAGTTTGAGAGTTTCTTTTGGAAGAGAGAGGTGTTTTAACAACTGTACTATCTGAGGTTCACTCTGTGGATAACTGATGTGCTAACAAAGCTTATTTTTCTACCCCCCCCCATTTTGTGTGATGAAGTAAGGCCATGAAATCATAGGAATGAATCCAGTGATTTTATACAGAGTATAAGAATAGATAATTTTTTTGTATACTAAATGAACATTCAACAGGATACTGTCTTTTTTTACATTTAACTAGTGTATTCTTCCCAGCACTCAGTTTTTTTTTTTATAGAAGTTGATTGATTACTAATAAAAAAGGGAGTTAAGGAGTTTCTCTTCCATTATGTTTCAATTAAAAAGTCGAGCATGGGTCTGTAGAGATGGCTCAGTGGTTAAAAGCACCAAATGCTCTTCCAGAGGATCCGGGTTCAATTCCCAGCACCCACATGGCCACTAACAACTGTCTACAGCTCCAAGATCTGACACCCTCACAAAGATGTATGTGCAGGCAAAACACCAATGTACATAAAATCAATAAAATGCCGAGCATTGACTAGAGTGCACTGTGTTTATCATCAGTGCAAAGGTCAGGAGTTGAGGCTGAGTCTTCAGTAATGGCAGTCTGGTTTGCATTTTAAGTTGTAAGAGTAGATAGTCCAGTGTGAAAAGATAGCCTGTTCTAAACATGCAGAGTGTGAAATCACCAATTGTAGCTCAGGCCATTTCACTAAGCTACACTGGCCAGAAATCTTCTTGCTGAATTTAAGAATAACTCTAGGAAATGGAGGTGAATATAGAAATTCCTGGCTTTTACATGACTTTCTCTGGAAATATTCACTTGTAGTCCAGTGAAATTTTTATTATAAAAAATGAATTCCAGATATTTATTTTGCTGTTTTTCTTGTCATTTCAAATAAAACTTGTATAGGCTAGCAGAAAATAGTTTCTGTTTAGGTATATGGAGCCCTTTGCTGTTGTCAGTGGAGACTTGGGTTAACTGGTATTGTTTACTCCTACTCTAATATCCACTTGCATTGGATTGAGAATGGTGAGTAATCTTATGGCGAGAAGGAAGAATTAATAATTGTTCTTGCAAATAGAAAGTCTTAATGACAAGTCCAGAGAGCTTCTCCTGCCACACTTGGTGCATCAGATCATATTTAAGAACAATGACTACTTGTTGCTACACTAACATTCCTTTCAGAATTTTCTCTTGGTTATGTGACTTGAAAGAACTTAGGAATTCTTTTTATCTCTGTCTTCTGTGTCAAACAGCTAGACAGGAAGGGAAGGAAACAAACCATATGAAGTACATCTCCATATGTCCTAACCATCCAGCAATTTCTGGATGTGTTGCTTGATATCTAAAATTATATTCTAATGATAATTATATTTACCAGAATTACATTCAAATCACAGAATTTATAGTTTTTGGGTTTTTTTTCCTTTTATTGTGTAACCTTCAGGTGACACTTAACAAATAATTTTGACAAGTGATGATAAATCTATTTTGCATCCCAGCCCAGTGTGCATATATTGGATGCAAATATGTATTTGTAATCCAGTACACATATAGCTGCATTAAAATTCAGACAGAAGATTCTTGAATAGTACTTTCTCGTAGTACATAATATATTCATTTTCTTCTCTAGTGACTTATTTTTTTGTTCTAAAAATGTTAGCAATTTGCAATAAGAAAATCACTGAATCATGTCTTCCATATAAGACTGAGTGAATATAGGCTTAATATACCAATTTTAAATATGAAGACTAAGGATCTTAGGACAGGATCTGAGGACTTGATTCAGCAATTAAAACACTTAAACATGAGGACCTGAGTTCTGATCCTGAGAAGCCCTTGTTAATATTGTTGGGTGTGGTTGTCTACCTGTAATTTCAGCTTCAGAAAGAGTAGACAATGGTCCTCAGAGCATTACCTAGCAGACTAGCAATATTAATGAGCCTGGGATTTGATTGAGAGACTCTGCCTCAATGAATCAGGTGGAAGATTGACCAAGCATGATTTCTGGTGTCAACCTTGAGCAAAAAACATGCATATACAAACATGTACACACTAATCCACACATGAAAAATAGGAAGAAAAAAAGAGAGCTTAGGCAACTTCATATACATTTTATGCTATCCTAGAAAACACTTTTAAAGAAATATCTTTATCATTTTAAGTCCTTTTCCCTAAGGATTAAACCCATTTGCCAGGAAAGTTTTTTGTTGTTGAGCAAGAGCCCCTCCTAGGTTCAGCCACACACTGATCATTTGGCTTCACCTGCCCCACCTGCTACTAACCTGCTTATTGTCACCAGCTTGCTCACTGTTTGATTTTTTATTGTGTTTTTTTTTTCTCTCTCTCTCTCTCTCTCTTTTTTTTGGCTCAGGAATTATTGTTGCAGAGTCCATACCCTTAATCTAGTAATTAAATATTGTACTTTGGGAATTGTCTAAAAATATTTGGAAAATTTTATGTATAGTTTATAAAATATAGTCATATATTTAAAAAGATAAAGATAGCATTGGGTATATAAGTACTTTTTTGAATTATTACTTGATCTCTACAATAACTCAGTCAGAGCTATTAATTAGTATTACAGTCAAAGATGTAAATCAATAAATCAGACTGATGTAGAAATTTGTTCAGGTAAGTAAAACACACCAGAATTGCTCTAAGACCAGAGCCTATATCTTACCATTTATTGTAGATGACCTTTTCTTTAAAATTTAAATTTTCCTTTGACATACAATATAGTAGCTCATTATAGAGGAACTAAAAGAACTAAGATGATTTTATATGTTTCCTTCTCATCTCATAAAATAAAAATCTTTTATATTCTAGATATTTTTAAATCATGTAAACATTTTTCACATAGTTACTGTAACTTGAAATCACCTTTTTTTTTGGTGGATGACAGCATATTATCACTTGGCTATAGTACAGATTGAATCTGTTTTTTCTAGTCCACATAAATTATTGCAGTAGAGTTTATCATTGTGTATAATCCAATGCTAGCACTTCCTCAGGCAGAGCTCTGGAAGTACTTCATTTACTAAAGCCTGCCCGCTTGCTAGGAGCAGTTACTATGCCAGATAATGCTGATAGGTTTGATTTACATGGCCCAGTCTAACTGACTCCAACATGTGGCTTCAGTCAATTCTATATGCATTGTTGCTTCAACTGTTGTGTTCTTCCTTTTTTTTTTTTTTTTTTCTGTTGTGTTCTTGGGCAATTAGCTTTGGGAGTGACTTTTCATAAAATATAATATTTGATTGAAATGAAAACTAAGATAATTTGTAGAAACTGAACTAAGTCAATTACACATTAAACCATTTTTTGTAATATTATATACATTTTGCAGTCAATTTCAGATGGTATCTAGCATAGTTAATTAGAAATGTGCAATTAACTCATGGTCTAGTAGGACCTCCCAGAAACCTACACATGTGTTACTTTCTGTTAGCACCTGTAGTTGGCAGGTACAGCAATTGCTGTTTTCTGTCTGAAGCTTTTTGTGGCGCCTGCTCTGCAGATAGTGGGAGTGTTTCTTTAGCCAGCCATTGCTGCTGAGGCATTGCACTTGCACACCCTACCCTATTGGTTACACCTGTGGAATTGTATTACTGTTAAGCAATTTAGAACTTTTTCCCCAAAGTTCTCTGTCTGCATCTGCTAGGTAGTGACAGACTCTGTGTCTAAGAGATGGTGGCATGGATTCAGTCATGTGTCAGTGGCTGTGCCTCAATAGTAAATACTTAAGTCACTCCTACTCGTTTTGATAATTTAAGCAGTCAATTTAAGCTCAGAGGATCGGTCAGTTCCATATTTCTTTAGTTTTTAAGTGACATATGCTAGTCATATGTCCTCAAGTTTTCTGAGATCTGGAGGTGCCATTCTGGAATCTAGAAAACAAAAGAGTATTCTTGGTTTCCACGTGTCACTGGGAAGCATGATTGGCTTCATTTGAAGCTAGTTACAGAGGGGCTTGCTTAAATAATTTATCTTCACAGTGATGTGTGGAACCTCATGTATCGTTTAGAATATAATTTCTAAGTTAAGGTCTAATTATACTTTTAAGAGTTCTGTAATGCCATCGCAGCAATAAAAGCAAACTAGCAAATACTAAATGTGTTTAGCCTTGTTTTATGATATATTTTTTGTTACTAAAAATTTTTTTTTTATATTTTTTCCCTTTCTTCATAAGAGTTTATATGGGTCTGATCTCCTTAGGTCTTTGGAATGTTAGTATTAACTTGTGTCAAGGGTTTTTCAGTATTGTGTTTGGTAAAATTCAAGTGATTCCTTTTTGTAAGATGTGTTAAACATACTTTTCTGTGGGTATGAATATTTGTACTAGCTTGTAAACCACTTTAGCAGAAAAAAAGGTATAAACCTACTAAATATTCTTTACCATATGCAAATATACTATGTACAAAAGTGAGGAATGCCTAGAAAAATACAAGCAGAGCAGATACCTTTGGCTGCTGCCCAGTCATGGAAATCCTTGGTGTTCTGTCTGGTCTCTGATGCCCTTGTCCTGTCTTTTTCTTGTCTCTGCTCTCCCATTGTGCCATTGGCAAGGAGTTGAGAAGTTAGTCCATTACTTCTCTGACAAAGCGTGGTACAGTACAATTTCAGATTTTTTCCTACCACCTTCCTCATGGTCACTTTTTGCTTTTCTGTTTTCTCCTGGTTTGCATGATGCATGTCAGAGTGTGCATGCATGAGATTACAGGCATGTTATAGGTGGCTCCATTTCCATCTTCCTTTGAAGTATTAAAGTGTATTCAATAATAACAGTAAACTCATATGTAGCTCAGAAAATGATTTTAGGTATTTCATGTGTGTTATGCAGTAGCATTTTAAT